GATTTTCATGAATGATTTTCAAAACATATTCTCTTAAGGAATCGGGGATGATCATTCTATTTCCAAAAAATAGGCAATTTCTTACTATTGTTATCTCGTTTTTAATTCTATTATAAGGTTTTATATCTACCTCTGATTCGATATCATACTTATCATACTTGACTAACTTATATAGTTTTCTAAGAGTTGGATCTTCTTGGGTTTTGTACGATACCAAGACGTAATCTAATATCGAATTTTCTATTAATAATATTTCTCCCATTTCCTCTTCCTTCTCCCCTTTTTCAGGATTTGGAAATCTTGAAAGAAAATCTGCAAGAGGTATTTCAGTTCCCTTAGTATATTTAATTTAAAAATTAAAATTTGATATTGAGAGTGACCATCTATGTAATCTATTTGCCACTAAGGCTGGTAAATTATTTTTATCGCCAAAAATGGCTAGTAATGGTTTGTGATCTGTATTAATAATAAATTTTCTTCCGTAAAGGAATTGTTTTAGCCTGTTTAAGGTAAAGAATATTGATAACCCTTCTTTTTCTATTTGGGAATATTTCTTTTCTGTGTCATTTAGTGTTCTTGAAACAAAAGTAATTGGTTTCTCAATGCCGTTTACAATATGGGAAATATATCCTCCAATACCATAATTTGATGCATCACAAGTAACATAAAGAGGTAAATCTTGCGAATAATGCGTCAAACAAGTTTTTGTACTAATCAAATTTTTACATTTTTCGAAAGCCTGATCATGTTCATTTTTCCAATTCCAATTATAACTTCTTTTCAATAGAGAGAATAAAGGATTTGCATGTATGGATAAATTTCTAACGAATTTACTGTAGAATGACAACATGCCCAAGAAAGATTTCAATTCTGAAATGTTACTCGGTTTAGGACATTTTTTTATACTGTCCAATTTATCCTCAAGGGGATAGATTCCATTTTTATTTATTCTATGTCCCAAATAATTGATTTCATCAACAAAAAACAAAGATTTTTCTTTATTAATTGAAAAATTAAAATCCGATAATTTATTCATGACTGTTTCAATATCTGAAATATGCTCATTTACATCAGACGATGCTATAAGAATATCGTCTAAATATATTATTACATTTTTAAGACCGGACAAAATATTGTCCATGATTCTTTGGAAAATAGTCGCTCCGGACTTGATACCGAAGGGCAGCCTTTTATATTTAAAAAGGCCTTTATGGGTAGAAATAACTGTTAATTTTTGAGATTCCTCGTCTAGAAGTATCTGATGATATGCGCTTGAAAGATCAATTTTACTAAATATACTTTTACCAAAAAATGAATGTAAAACATTATCGATGTTCGGTATCGGATACTTAACATCCTCGATAAATGGATTTAAGGTTCTTTTAAAGTCCGCACAAATTCTAATTTTGCCGTTTTTCTTAGGGACGCATACCAGCGGTGAAGCTATTGGGCTATCCACTACATTTTCAATAATATCATTATTTAATAAAAATAATAGTTCTTCTTCAATTAAAGTCCTAATAGCAAAGGGAGCAGGTCTAAATTTATAAAATTTTGGCGCAAAATTATTTTTTACATTAATGTGTACGGAAATATCTTTTATTGGCAAGACTATATCTTCGAAAAGTTTATAATATTTATTAAAAATTAAATTAGTATCAAAATTATTTTGTTGGACATTAATTTGTACCATATCAAAATATACTATCCAGTCTTTTCCTATGAGAAATTTATTATTTTTAATATTTGTTACTATTAAGTTTAAATGGCCTACTTTATTTTTAAATCTTACTTCTACTTTACATTCTCCAATAGAGGAAATGCCATTTCCTTGATAATCGGTTAAATAACATTTAGGCGGAAACAATTTAATATGTTCAAAATATTTTAAAAATAGATCTTTTGACATAGTTGTTAAAGCCGCACCAGTGTCAATTTCTGCTAAGAATTTTATTTCGAAGACATACAAAATACTCACAAATTTATTAGTCAAATATTCTACATTATTGATGGACTCACCATTTTTTCCCGAAAATGATTCTCCGTTGGCAGACGCTTCACTAGATATTCCTCTCTTTCTTGGTTGAAAATATCCATTCTTAGATTTTGAATGACAAACAGTTGATATATGTCCCAATTGTTTACAAGAATAGCAGAAAGAATTTTTAAAAAAACATTTGTCCGAATGATGATTCATCTTTCCACAATGTTTGCATTTAGAATGTAATTTGTTTATTTCTTTAGTTTCAGCATAAGACTTCATTTTCAACACATTACAATCTACCGATTCTATTGTGGTAGCCATATTCACTGCCATATTAAAAGTCAGCTCAGGCTCTTGGAGTAATCTTTTCAAAATAACCTGATTAGAAACTCCTGCAATGAACTTATCCCTTAGGTGTTCTTCAATATTTAAGCCAAAGTTACATTTATTAGCTTGTTTTTTTAATTTAAGGACATAGTCTTCTATTTTCTCGCCATGTTCCTGAACCAATTGGCTGAATTCATATCTTTCAAAAATGATATTTAGCTTAGGTGTAAAATGAGTGAGTAAAACACTAACAATTTCTTCGAATTCTAATGCACAAACATCTCTAGGGGAGATTAATTCTTTTAGAACACTATAAGTATTTGCTCCAATAGACATAATAAAAAAAGGCACAATCTTCTTACCTTCGATTTCATTCACAAAAATGTACTGTTTGAATCGTTGAAGATAATTTTCAAAAGATTCTTCTTTCATTACATATGGTTCGAAAGAAAGTCTCGTCGCCATTGTTATTTTGCTGCTTAAATAATTTTCTAGGAATTTATATTAAACAAAAGATGTCTGCACTTATAAAAGAAATAAAGTTTATTTTTCTTCCTTAAGAATATTTACATGCAAACCAAGCAAAACTAAAATTAAAATTAAAAATTGATCTAATATTCAATCACTCATATTTAATTATTTTTATACGTTCATCCACATCACTTTTCAAAGCTTTTTCCCTAACAACATACTAAAATATTTCCGACCAAACTTTCATAATTCTCAATTCATTTCTATTCATGGAAATTTCAGAAGCTTTTTAAAAAGAATTAAAGCTGTGAAAGACTCGAGTTGTTTTTGTGGACAGGAGGAACAAACCTCAATACATCTTTTACTAGATTGTCCTGTTTTTCAAGATTACAGAATCGAAAAAAAAATATTAGTAACAGATCCAAGTATTTTTATTTCCAGTAAGGAAATGTATAATAAATTCAATACCTTTTGTAGATATATTTTAAATTATATAGCAATAAATATCTTCTGATAAACTGATAATTTATAATATGATTATTGTACATATTGCCAGACACTTCTTTCTTTTGTACACAGTTATTTTTCACGTTTTTTTTTTTCACTCTTTCTCATTGTTAACATCATATGTCTATTCTATTCACGGCCTATAATTATTGTACATATCTTATATAAAGAAAAGATGAAATTCTGCTTGAATTTAGATCATTTTGAGGATTATGGTATGGTAATGCAGTCGTGGTTAAAATTCTTGAAATAATAATAATAAAAATAGTATTGATCAGATATTGCTTTAATTGAGCTAAGGGATATGCATAAAAGACATAATTTGGTAAAAGTACTGCCAGGCTTAAGGCGTAAGAATAAAAAAATGAAAAGCTTATTTACATAATGTACAAATGTTTTGAGTCGGCCAACGGGGAATAACAACAACGAGTTTTTATATGCAAAGTGTGACTTCTGGCGGTCGATTTAACAGAATATTTTTATCTAGGAAATATAATTTTAAATAAAACAATATCTTAATATAACATTTTGAATAATATCTTAATATAACATTTTAAATAATACACACTTTTATATAACATATATATGTATAGACAAATGTAAAGACATACATGTATGACATCGCAAGTGTCCCAATGGGACATAGCGCTTTAAATTGAAATAAAATAAAATAGATGTTATTCATGCGAAAAATATCAAAATATAATTATATACATATATATTATTAGCCTTATACATTATTTGTAAAATTTTATTATAAATATAAAACACACACAAGTATAAAAATATGAACATATATATATAAATATATTTAGATTATTTAAAGGTATATATTGTAGTGTAAAATATTCATTCACCAATATTTCGATTGGCCGAACGCCAAAATTTATTTTTCTCTAAAGATTTAATTATAGATTGCTCTATTTTTGATATATACATATATATTTTATATTTTCTTACTTTTTTCCACATGCACATATATATATATATATATTTTATATTTTCTTACTTTTTTCCACATGCACATATATATATATATATATATATATATATATATATATTCATACGCAGTTCTATATATATATATATTTGAATATATCTTGTTTAAATGATGCTTCCATTTTTTAAATATATAATTCTGGAACAAACACTGTGAAAACGACCGCCAGATGGCGCCATTTTAAATATATTAATCCATTGCTGTTGTTTGCCTTTTTTATGGTTTCAACAAAGCTATTTGTCTAAATATATAAATAGGAAAATAAGTTTTTATTTTTATTAAGGACTCAAGTGATGGTATTTATTTCTAAGAATTGTGTTAAAATAACTTGAGGCAATCTACTGTCAAGATTATTTTATTCATACCATTAATTCGTTTGTTTTATATTAATTGCTATCAGCTCAATTGAAGTGAACACTGATCTAAATTATATTTCAATTCTATTTCAACAATATTCACGACTACAAAACAAATACTTGTTCATTCAATCGGGATATATAATTATCAAAAGAAAGTCTAAATAATCCATCACCTATAAAATAATATATATATATTATTTATAGAACGACATTTAAAATTATCCCGCATGTGTTTCTTTTGAACGAGTAATCGAAATTTATTTTAAGGAGAAATAACGATTATTTCTAACCATAGGGATGAAGTATGAAATGATGAATTGTGAAGAGTAATGATAAACGGAAAAGTAAAAGTGTCCAGAGATGGGAATCGAACCCACAGTGTTTCTCTTACCTGGCAGATGCCATGTCCACTAGGCTACTCTGGACATATTTTTCCGTTCGTAAATATTATATAAAGTAATTTATAATACAATATAATGCGGCTTATGATTGGAGACCGACATTTAAAATTATCCCGCATGTTTTTCCTTCTATATTATTTAAATTATTATATATTAAATAAGTAATGCTTTCTAGTTCAGGAATCTCCCATTATATCCTTATTCTATACTATGTTAAAAATGCATCTCTCCTGATCTTGCAACCGTAGGTTAATGGTATCTAGCGCCTTCTCTATCAGAATGTATATTAGCTATTCATTGAATATTGAATAATTTCAGAATTATGATCAAATACTTTCTTATTTCCACTTGTCTCTCGATGCGAATAAATATATGTTTTTATACTATCCTTAATACTATATCAATGTTTATTCAGCCACTACAACCAAGAATCCCCTTACAATGTTATATATTAAGCATTTGTCCAAAACAAAATTAGAACTAAAGAACAGTCTAGTAGATTGAACTGTCTAAATTGTTGAGAGGATACAAGAAAGAGGCAGTTCAGGTTCAGAAACAATTCCATGCAATATGTGACAATACAATCTCATTTAGTATATTTTTAGTTTATTCAGTATTTTATACACAAGATATCATATTCAATTCTTATTCTATAAGGAGTCTAAAAGTTGACCACTATTGAAATAGATATATGATTCAGAAATAGTTCATCGTCATTAATATTTTTGAAGCCCGTGTTATATTCACAATAATGGGGAAGTATATAGTTCCTACATCGCAAAATTTTGCTTGACGGAATAGGTATATATTCTGTAATGCATCTTTTCAATATTATGACTAGATTTAGCAAGACACACATATTGTTCTATAGGGGAGGTAGAACATGCTATAAAGAAACTTTTGTTCAGGAATATTTTGGTAGGTCCATTTTTCAATTTATCTCCTTCGAACCATAGAAATTTAGTTAATAAAATATTGTTTTCCTTTCGGAAATTCATGCTGTAACTTTAGATCTTATAAAGACTTACATGGAGCCAAAACATCGCCTCATTCATTTATAAATCCATCAATTGTTTCCACAAACAAGTATTTATTATACGTGTATAATTGTATTATATTAATAAACTTGTATTTATATATACTTTACTATTTCGAAACTTATATCTATATAGATCAATATCACATCGGCCTGGCGGATTTAATTGTCGAAAAACGCTGGACGGATTCACTACTGATCTGAGGCAAGCCGTCCGAATATATTTTTCAAATAAATAAGGACATTAGGAAGATGTTTTATTTATATTATAAAAAATAATATAGAATGGTATATTTCTTCATATTATTATTCCATTATTGTGATATCTTAGGGTAGAGAAAAAGAACAAAGCTATTTTTTTGAGAAAAAAATACATCTCTTGATCGTGCAACTGGGCGAGGGTTTGCGCTAACTCTGGCAGAATAAATATCAACTAAACAATGAAAAAAATCTTGAATATTTTTACGAACCTTTTCTATATAAATCAAGAAATTTACCGACGTACACTTTTAAAGGTTATTGGGCCGCGTCAGCGTGGTGCAAGCTATACCTCAATAACAAGAGAATTAAATCAGGATAATAAAATTAATAAAGAACCGATTCGAAATCTAATTCCTCCAATTCAATCACAGAAGCTGTCAATATTCACGGTGGGTGGAGCAATGTCGTAGAGAGAGGACATTTACAACTTGTCAACCTTATGTGGCCAGAGTTAGTAAGCAGTCTTTCTAACAGGCATTTCAGTAGTAATGACTAATATTTTACCGTTATTAGTCTATTAGTTTAATATGTAAATATTGTGGAATTAATTAATAAAGTTTTCTGCAATATGTATCTTCAATAATATATTTACATATTAAACTAATAGACTAATAACGGTAAAATATTAGTCATTACTTCTGAAATGCCTGTTAGAAAGTTTTCTGCAATAGGTATCTTCATTAATATATTTAGAGTATTCAAGCCTTCAATCAAATAACATTTCCACTGGAGTGTTGTTTTCCCTAGTTAAAACTGTGGAAAGATATAGAAGGAAATGTCTGTAGAAGGGTTATTCAACCTGAAATCTCGAAGATTCTGAATATAGCATTAAGGATGTTTATAGCAGAACAAACGTGATGTGCTAATTTTATAGCAATTATTTGCGATGGATTATAAGGCTTTTATCCTAAATAGGCTCTGTATCACACTTTTATTATCTATCAAATAGCTTTATACCAGGTCCCACCCTATTCATTGCCTACTGTTCAAAAATATATTTTTTTCAAGTTTGGGAAGGTAGGAAGTATATATATATATATTTTTATTAAAAAGTCATATATTGGATCAAAATATCATTTATTTTACCAATATTTCAGTTGGCTGAACGCCAACCTTTATCAAGATATTATAACTTATTAATGTCTGTCAACAACAGACTCAGCGTCACATAACGTCAATAGAATTAAGTTTGAAAATATTTTTGCTTATATTCAATGCTAATTTGCTTATATTATGAACAAAATAAATTTTGTGAAATAAGATAGTGAATATGGTATATTAACAATAGGTAAAATAAATGATATTTTGATCTAATATATGCCTTTTTAATTAAATATTTATTAATGGATTGCTCTATTTTCAATATATATATATATACTAGCGGATGTGTACCCGGCTTCGCCCGGGTTTTATCCGAGTGGAAGTTTGCATAACGTATATTATGATAATAATATTCCGGAACACACAGAATATTATGATAATAATATTCGTTACATTATATATTTATATAATATATAAAATATATTTTTCGAGAAAACATATACTCTCTCTCTCTCTAATGAATAGAATTTTTAAAAAAAATATATATATATAAAATATCTAGAGATATACTACATGATCTTAGCTAAAAGACGAGAAACGATATTTTATATATAGAGATGACCTTGCTTCGTGTGTTTTCTGCTCGAGTGAATGTTTCGCTGGTAGAATTTTGTTCCTGCCTACTAAAAATTATTATCTGGCTCCGCCCGTGGACTGCTTTAGTGAATATTCCCCCAAAGAATTTTGTTCATGTCAATCAAGCATGATACAGCAATATTGTCTTTATCATTTCTGACTGAAAAAATATTGTTGCTCAGTACTTTGTTAATTATATTTTTTCTTGGTTAAAGTGCGACAAAAAAACTCTTCCAGATTTAACTCTCTGTCCTGTTCAAAATTTAGCGAGATTAGTTACATATTGGGGCGTGCATAGCCTACAAACATATATATATATATATATATATATATATGTCCCCCCCCCCCCCCCCCCCCCCGGCTTCGCTCGATTTTTACCAGAGTAAAGATTTGACTAACACACATTTGTTAAAACGATTCTAGCAAACATCCCCCTACTGAATCTATACTTGTCTATACTCTCGATAATTTGAAATATTTCCCGGTCCCTTGAAAAATACTCCATAAGTTGAAAAAAAATCAGTATTAATTGGTCCACTCGGTAATTTGAAGTTGAAGGAATAGTATCTTGCCACAAACGAAGATTTGTGAATAACTTAATTTAGCGAATGTACCCGGCTTTGCCCGGTTTTTATCCGAGTAAGAGTTTACCTAACGAACATTTGTTAAAACGATTCTAGAAAACATCCAATCCACCTATATATTGATTTATAAATATAAATATTGTTATATGCGTTTAAATATATTTTTGAAACACGTAATCTTTTGAAAACATTCATTATATTTTAAATAAGATATTGTCTCTTTTGTGAATTTGATAATTAATTATCTCTTTTTTCTCAATGAATTATATATATTAATTTGAAAATTCATTTTTGTTATCATCACATACAATGTAAATTTTTTTATATAAACAAACGATAATAAAAAACAACAACAATGTAATTTGCATCTTCATTATTATAAAACAACAACAAATTAAATTAACAATGAAAAATATATTTTAACATTACATTTTAACATTTAACACAAAAACGTTATACAATATTTTCTTTAAATATATAGTAATATTAAAATGCCAAGTTTTTTATGTGTCATTGGAATATTATATTACTAAATTCTCAAATTAAATTTATTATACTTGGAACACATTTTGAGCATTGTTACAATTTATAAATATAATTTCACCAGATGCTGCGAGAGGCGCTGCTTGCGAGTGAAAGTAGAATATTTGCAATTAAAATTGCAACAAATATTTATTTCAAATCAAATTCAAACCAGAAACCTTCCCAGTAGTATAGTAAATAACTTCCTAAAGTTTCACAGCGATTGGATAATATTTCCTTTTAAAAACATTTATCGTGTGAACAAACTAACATTCTTCGTGTAAACAAACCACGTGCAAATTATCAACCAATCAAATTCATTTATCGTCGCGACCAGTGCTGCGAAATCTTCAGCTACCTACATGCGAAATTTCATAATGATTTATTCTGTAGATTTTGCGCAACGCGATAACAAAATCGATTCTGGATTTCATTTTTATAGATATAAAAATAAAGAAAGCATATCCTGACCACGAACACATGTGCTTTTTAGATGGCAGAGCGTCATCTAGTGGAGCAAAAATAAACTAAACGCTTATTTAACTTGCTCCGTGATATTTGGCCAACCTAATTTCTTGACTTATCAAGAAAAGCCATCCACGTACGCGTTTCGCGCTGTTGGCGCTCGTCAACGTGGAGTAGGCTGTACCACTGCGACCATATTTTTGGTCCCAATGGCTTCTTGAGAAACCAAGAAATGAAAATTTAAGGCCAAATTTGCGTAAATACGCTTAACACATGAAAAGACAATAGAAAAAAATAAAAGATAAGTGGGTCAGGTGTTGATATTAAAAATAAATAGAGCATATCCTGAAAACGTGGTACAGCCTACTCCACGCTGACGAGCGCCAGCAGCGCGAAACGCGTTCGTAGATGGCTTTTCTTGATAAGTCAAAAAATTGTGTTGGCCAAATATCACGGAGCAAGTTAAATAAACGTTTAGT